AGGAAAAAGTCAAGAACCAGATGATTTCACTCATGTAGGATATAAAACTGAAAGCAACAAACAAACAAACAAACAAACAAACACTCATACACACAGACAACAGTATGGTGGTTACCTGAGGGAAATGGTGAGGGGGAGGGAGAAGAGAGTAAAGAGGGTCAAATATACAGTGACAGAAAGATAACTGATTTTGGATGGCGAACATACAATGCAATATACAGATGATGTATTATAGAATTGTACACCTGAAACCTGTATAATTTTATTAACCAATGTCATCCCAATAAATTTAACACAATGAAAAACAAGAAACAAATCATTATTAAAATCTCAGAAGCACTCCTGCCCTGTTAACTCCTTCAAATGCTACCTATTCATTTCCCTAAGATAACAATTATCCTGTCTGCTAATGCTGGAGACGAGTTTTTCTGTTTTTGATCTTCATTAAAATGGGAGTATACAGTATGTACTCTTTTGTACCTGGCATCTTGAACTCAATAGTATGTTTGTAAGATTCATCCAAGTTACTGAATGCAGTTACAGTTTTTTCTCATTGCTATATATAGGTATTCCACTGGATGAATGCCTTATCCTGATCAGATCTCATAATTTCTGAATTTAAAGATTCCAAAGTTTTATCAGTTATAAAAATTACCAGTAAATATATCCTCAAATATTGACTCTTCCCTAGTATCTCTTTCAGGAAGGAACTCCTACTAAAAAATGCTGAACAGTCTCATTTTATACTCAATGTCTCTTTTACATTTCTATCTCTTTATCTTTCTGTGCTGCCTTTCAGAACTATCTTTCAGTCCAGCATTTTTTTTTTTTTTTTACCTATGCCAGTTCTGCACTTTAACCTACCCATTGTAAAGTGTCTGTATTTTTTTATTTATTAAAGTTCTATTTAGTTATCTTTCAACTTTGCCTGTTCCTTTTTGGAGTGTCTTGTTCTTACATTTTTGATTCCTTGATTTTCTATATACTTATTTTGATCGTTTCTATCCAATAGTTTTACTGAAGTTCATCAAAGTCTAATCCTGTGGTTTACTATGTCTGCTGAAAACTCACTCAGTTGTATTTTGAAATTTTGGA